GCCAAGATTTTTCTTTTTAATGCCAAAGACAGGAGGCGTTGAAGCATGTAGAAGTCTGTTATATAACTAAAGTTTAAAAGGGTTAGTCGTAGGCTTCTGTAACACTTCGTCCTACATCATGCTTGTTTCCCGATTGAGATCACTAAAACTTAGACCATTGGCCTTTATTAATTGTAACGTATGCCTTTCCCTAGACTTCTTGAATAAAGGGGTTTTTTTGTGTTGTAATTGATTTGTAAAGCCTTCACATGAAAAATACATTAACTAATATTAAACTAAAATAAAAACATTAACCCCGAGAATATTTTTTGCCAGCTTACCTGATTTGGGAAATAAAAAGTTGTTATCTTTGTAATCATTATTATCACATTTGTATTCAACATTGTTTAAGTCACAACCATAGTTTTCTTTGTGCTGTTATACTTTAAATTTTTTCTTTTTTCATTGATCTTGAGGAAACTACTGTCTTAGGATTATAGGTAGTGACACTAAATCCTCACCTCAAACAATATAACACTGGAAATATAGATTGAATTAAGTTAAAGGTAGAAATTAAACTATAGAACCATTGTAAAAGAATACTGATTCAAAATTTGGTTTCATTTTTTAATTTTTAAAATCCTTATCTTTTAGAGACAGGATCTTGCTCTGTCACCCAGGCTGGGGATCTAGTGACACGATCATAGCTCCCTGCAACCTTGAACTCCTGGGCTAGAGCGATCCTGTTGCCTCAGCATTCTGAGTACCTGGGAGTATAGGCATGTGGCACCACAGCTGGCTAATTTTTTTCCCCCATTTTTGTAGAAATGGGATCTTGCTGTATTGTTCAGGCTGGTATCGAACTCCTGACCTGAAGCCATCCTCCTACCTCAGCCTCCTGAGTAGCTGGGATTACATGCATGAGCTGCCTTGCCTGGCTCCAAAATTTGGTTTCTTATTAAAACAATTTCCTAAGATTACAAATAGTAAAAACACCAGAGAAGAGGTTGATAGATTTAACTGTATAAATTAGAAGACATCTGAATATCAAAATACTTAATTTCCTGCAGTATTCTTATTAAAAATGTTTAATCTGAAGTTAATTATGAAGAATCAGTTAGATAGAAATTTTTATATATTCTACAAGATATCCGGTCTAGATTTTTCAGAAATTTTGTTGTCATGATATACCCCATAAAAAAGAAACAGGGATTAAAGAAAACTTAAGATACGTAGGTATCATATGTATGGAATCTTCAATCAGGTTTTGGATAGAGGAGGAAAATCTATAAAGGACATATCTGGAACACTTGGATCCATTTAACTATAAAAACTGTATATTATATATTATTTCAATTTAATTATTACTGCTTACTGGTATCATTAGAAATATTCTTTTGTTTTGACCTACAGCAGTGATTTTGAAATTACTATATTAGCAAAACCAGGGATTTTGGTGGAGTCATTTGCACAACCTCCATAAATCAGATAAAAATCAGAGGTAATTGCAGTAGTAATTAGTGATTAAGAGTATATGTCCTCTAACTGTATTTTCTTGTTTTATCTCTTGTTTATAAATTGTTAGTTCTGTGTGTTATTTTGTCATCCAGGAAAGAGATGATAAATAGTACCCAGTGTTAATAATTTAATAGTTGTGAAGAATAAATGAGATAATGCACCTATGGCTGTTACCAGATACTCAGTGTTCAATATTTGGGGAAGGGGCAGTCTTCTTATTCCTTGTTAGTATCTTTGTGTCACCTCCTTACAAATAACTTGAGAACTAATAATTGAGGTTTGTGACATTGGGATTAGGTAAAATTGGACAAGTGAAAAGCAAGTTATTGTGGAAGGCGATTAGGGCTATGAGTCTGAATACCTAAGTGTAGAAACAGGCTTTCTTTAATTAACCTTCCTATTTAATCTTGTTATGAGATATTTGCCTTCTCTGAGTTGATTTCCTCATTTGTGTAACGGAGCAATAAAATCTGTGTCAGCTGGCCACCTCATACCTTAAAAAGTAAAATAGTTGTTTTACTTGGAGTTTGTTTTCCTGGTCCTTGAAATTCGATCAGGCAGCTTCAGTTTATTTGACCTAATAATAAAATTGTGAGAGATGTTATGTGTATCTCTGTAGTTCTTTCTCTGAACTTTGTCGTCTTTTCTATAGGAAGATGAAGATCCTAGCAGAGGTGATCAGAGTCGGTCAGTTGACCCTGGAGAAGATAATGTGACAGAGCAGACCAATCACATTATTATTCCCAGCTATGCATCATGGTTTGATTATAACTGGTGAGTGAGCCACTTCCATTTTTGAGCAAGGTAGTGATGAGTAGGAGAACTTTTCTTAAAGTCAGGTTGTACCATTCTGCCCAAGTCTCTCATCAGTAATTACTGTTGCACTGGATGAGGGGAAATAGAAAGTGATTTTTATCTTTGGAATGTATTTTTTAAGACAGTTTAGAAATTGAAACTAGATTGTGCTATAATTTAGGGTTGAACCTAACTCATTTAAAATGAGCTAGAATTTAGATAGGCAAATGCTTGAATATTTAATAATTATAAAATGAAAATGTTGATGTTCATTATATGCTTTAAAAATGTTAAATACAGGCTGGGCCTGGTGGCTGATGCCTGTAATCCTAGCACTCTGGGAGGCCAAGGCAGGAGGATCACTTGAGGCTAGGAGTTTGAGACCAGCCTCAGCGAGAGCAAGACCCCATCTCTACAAAAAAATAGAAAAATTAGCTGGGTGTGGTGGGGGCACATCTGTAGTCCCATCTGCTGGGGAGGCTGAGGCAGGAAGTATCCCTTGAGCCTGGGAGTTTGAGGTTGCAGTGAGCTATGATGATGCCACTGCACAGTACCTTTGGTGACAGAGCAAGACTGTTTCAAAAAAAAAAAAAAAGAAATTGTTCTTCTATAAATTTTCAGGTAATTCTTTGTACTTACAGTATTTGTACAGATCCAGTTCAATTTAAATGTTACCAAATAATGAAAGAGAGTATAGTTTTAGTTATGTTCGCAGGCCATTGATTTGCTCTTTTCCATGTAACCAGTATGTAATGTTGCATGTCTAAAAAGCCATTGAGAAACTCAGATGTCATCAGGAAGAAACACTGATTAATATGAGTGTCAAAAGTTTGTGGTGGATCTATACTTGGTGCACTCGTACAGTGTATTAGGCCTGATCATTTTACATGGGCTATATAGTGCTTATGACTTGTAACATTTTATGAAATTATCAGTGTTCTTATATAATTTTAAAATCAGTTTTGTGATCTTATTAAAAGCAATCGATCACTGAAATTGGAGAAAAATCATTTCACTGTAGTGTTTCTGAGGGCTGGACAAAGGAACATTGATGTTAAGAGCTTGAGAAACTGATTACTATAAATTTCACTGTCATTTTGGCTGGTCATTTGTTCCATAAGTTTGTTGCTATGCCAACTACTTTGTTTTTGTCAGCCAATTTCCAAAGAATTCTTATTATCTTGTGGCTTATTTTCTAGTCATGATGTATTATGACAAGAAAATAATAAAATGCGTAGCATTTGGTGTGTTGATAGACGTTTTCAAGTTTGGTTGTAGAGATAGAAAAAATACAGTTAAGTATTAGGGGTGAGAAAGGGAGAGCTTTCTTTAACTCTGTTATGTCCTGTTAATAAATAGGAACTTGTGCAAGCCAATTAATTTTGGCTCATAGTTCTCAGTTTTTGGATTTTTCAGTTTTTCTTTTAAAATTAAATAAGGTTAGCCCAAATTTAAAGATTTTCTTTTTCAAAGAAGACTCACAATCCTGTTTTTTTTTTCCTTTCAGTATTCATGTGATTGAACGACGTGCTCTTCCTGAGTTCTTCAATGGAAAAAACAAATCCAAGACTCCAGAAATGTGAGGCCAGTGTTTTAGAGAACTTGTTTATTTGCCTGTGTGTGGCAGGAGTTTTTAACGAATGCATCTGAGTTTATTGTTGCTGATTGTTGAAAATTTGCAAATATCTTATTCCATTCACAACAGTATTGATGTCTCATTTAAACAGTATTCCTTGCCTCAAAGTAAATTATATCTAATTTTTTTTGCTAACCCTTGAACTATATGCATGTCAGCTCTTGAAGTTACAAAATTGAATTCAGACGAGGCATGGGGGCTCATGTCTATAATCACAGTGACTTTGGAGGCTGAGGCGGGAGGATTGTTTGAGGACAGGAGTTTGAGACCAGCCTGGGCAACATAGTGAGACCCCATTTCTAGAAAAATTTTAAAAATTATAGCTGGGCATGGTGGCACATGCCTGTAGTGCCAGCAACTCAGGAGGATTGCTTAAGCCCAGGAGTTTGAAGCTGCAGTGAGCTATGATCGCACCACTACACTCCCGTTTGGTGACAGAGTGAGACCTGGTCTCTGGGGAAAAAAAGAGATTGAATTCAGTAGTGGATATTCACTAAAACGAACTTGGATGTCTTCTAAGAGCTTTCAACTTGTGTGTGCATATGTATAATGGATTGTGTGCGTGTATGTATGTGTATAGATATATATTCATGTATAATAATTCAGGAGAAAATAGAATCTTTACCATATCTTTTTGATGAATGAGTGCTAATTAAAAGATTGATAGATATGATATAGCTGCATGTGAATTCAGCTTAATTCCATGAAGCTTTGTTGTCCTTTTATTAATACATTGGTTATAAAAGCAGACTTTTATTGGAAAGAAGAAATTTTCCAGGAAGTACTTTTGTCTTTCTCTGGTGACCTGTCACTGTATACTTCTGGAATCCCTTCTGCCTAAAATAAATCCACATGTATAATACTATAAATACTCT